TACAACAATAACTTAACCACTGTAATGATGTGCACTGACCTGATGGAGTCGTCTATCTCTGTCAGGTCCGGGTGGCAAGCTTCTCAGACTGGGAGGGATGTACCAGAAACACACATTACTGTGCTCTGGCTGTTTGAAGGAGGAAAAGGGACAGACCATGTTTGTTCATTTCAATAGATGAGAAACCAAAGAGCTAAATAAAGTAAAGAGAAAAAGAGAAGAAAACAAAAACAAATAATATCTAACTAGTTAGATACTAGTTAAACTAGTTAAAGGTAAAACAAACAAACCAAAACATGTATGTCCTACAACAGTTCCTGGTTACATGTGAGTTAGACCTGGTTCAGGATCAGATGGGTTGTCACTTTGCTTATTACACATTTGTCTCTAAACAATCTGTGCTGCTGCCTGCTAGGTGTGCTTAATTTTTATGTTTTGTTGTTATCACCCTTCAGCTAACCAGCCAACAGTTTGTCACTGCTGAAATATTTCTTGCACAATTTTCTTTAAATTCTTTTTAATTTTAGTTTGATACATTTCTTTATTTACCGTACAAATTTAAAGCACACTGCACTAGTTTTCATGAGGTGATTAGCAAAAGCAATGTTAAAGAGCTGTTTCTGGTTGGTCAATTATCCATCCCCCCATCCGGTGGTGATGTTTGCAGTTACATGTTTACGGCACACTGAGCAACATTTTGTTGACAGGTTTAAATGTCTGTATTTTGTTATAATTGCTAGAATCCCAATGCACACTCACACTTGTTGATATGAGTCTTTTTTGTTTGGTTTTTCCTTTTTAACACATCTTGAACATTAAGCAATACAGTGGCAATACTACTCATCTCACTGAGCCAAACTCATTCTCACAAAGAATAGGTGGAGAGACTCACAATTCTGCTGAAATGAGCAGAAGCTGCTGAGAATTGTTCTGATAAGAAGTGAATCTGCAGAATTTCTGCTGAAAATAGGTTTTTTCTGAAAACAGCTGAGATTTGTGCTGATAAGAGGTGAAAAGGCTGAAAATTTTGCAGAAGAGGTGAATAAGCAGAATTTGGGCTGAAAAGAGTTTTTTTGTTTCTGAAAACAGCAGAAAAAAATGAAAATTTTGCTGAAAAGGGGTGAAAACGCTGAAATTTGTGTTGAAAAGAGTTAAAAACGTTTAACTGTTAACTGAAAGAAATGTTGCCATAAGTGGGATTTGAACCCTGGCCTCCCAGTCTGAGAACAGCTGCTCATCTCACTGAGCTAAAACACAGCTCAGCCCGGTGAGCAGAAACAAGTGACCACATTGATATTGTGTTCCATTCATTTCAATGGGCAAAAATATTGTATAAAAAGCTTAATATTTTAAAAAGTATAATAGTTAAAAGTACAAAAAGATATAGCAGGAATGAGCAGAAATAGCAGAATCTTGTGAAATTTGAATGGTGAAAATTGCACAAAAATTGTGGAAGTAGTTAAGCGGCAAAGAACGGAGCAACTTGAAGAATAAAGTATAAAGAATAAAGAGAAACAGGAACTCAATAGTGTGGACTAGAAAAAGTTGCATTTCCTGCGAAAACGCAGTGTGAATGCCTTGTACTGGAATATGCTGAAAACAACTGAAAAAACAGAAATATCTGCTGAAATGAGATTTAGAAGCTGAAATACTTGCTGAAGATGGCTCTATGTGAAAGAGTACACTACTCAGTGTCAATAAAGCAGAGTACATGCAAGTAGGGAAGATGTGCAGCAAATGTCACATGTAGAACTCGAACCTGTGCCACTAGATCTCACATCAGCTGCTCTTCCCATTGAGCCAAACCAGCTCTGGTCTCAAACAAACATATGATGAAAGAAAAAATGTTCACTGTGCAGAAGCAGCTAAATGGTGCTGAAAAGACCTTAAAATGCTGAACGTTCAGCAAAAAAAAAAGATAAGGAACCTGAAAATTGTGCTGAAAAGTGGTGAAGAAGCTGAAAATTGTGCTGAAAAGAAGTGAATCAGCAGAATTTGCACTGAAAAGAGGTATAGAAGCTGAAGTTTGTGCTGAAAACAGCTGAAGAAGCTATGACTGTGACTTGGCATATAGTACTATCAAAGAATCAATATTTCTGGAAAAATATCTGTAAATAGCACACTCACTTTGTTTTTGAAGACTAGTTCAAATTCTGTCCTTTTCTGCAGCTGATCATAGAGATACTCAGCATTCTCCAGACATTTGTTGACTTGAGATCCAAAGCCGTCTGAGCCCTCACATATTAAATAGTGGACATAGTGAGAGAGACAAATAGTTATTGTTAAAATGACATAAAGACATCTTATAACCTGGTTTTGTTTAGGGAGGAAATTGAAACCATTTGCAAAAAACAAATTACTACAAAAATAATTCATGATATTCCATTATATTTCAATAATTTTACTCTTGTTTACTAAATGTTTGATATGCTTATACTTAAAGGTTAGGCTTAGGTAAAGGTTAGATGTCATTTATACAGAGAGGTTATGTTACTGACACTATCGCACACACACCCACACCAACATTACGGTTTTAGTTGTACTTTAAAATATACCTTTGCCTTCCACATCAGCCAGAGTTTAAACACATCAACGTGTCGGCCACACTGGATGCTTTTATCTCCAGTGTCATAGCTCACATCGTACGGTTTGTCCGTCTGAAAAAGGTACTGGGCCCCCAACTTATTACACTCCTGTAAGAGACCCTGAAGATGAAAGAGGCAGAAATCATTCATACAAACTAAAGCGGAAACTACACAGATGGGCCTGACTGACTGCCTGCCTACCAGAAGCTTGCTAAGGTCTCAGCTCTGCGCTATGTTTCCTATAAATTGCATTTCCAGGAGGCTAGTAACACTAATTTTCACTGGCTACCTGTTTTTCAGAGGTGTTATTGCTTGCTTGAATTTACTTATTCATTTCTTTAGATGGCCATGAAATCAAAATATATTGGTACATCTCCTGGCCTTTGCTCAGTGATTTAGAATCTGGACTACCAATTTGAGGTGTGATGTATTGTTATTACTGTTAAATATTTAAGGTTATTGTATTTGTGTAAAAAAGTACAGTTTGTGATAGCTTTTGTTTGCATTTTCTATTTAGAGTTTAGGGTATGGGTATGTTTGTAAACACAGTTTAATTAATAAATAAACTGTAATTTGGGGAGCTGACCATTATTAGCTAGCTGGCTAAAATAACATATATGGAGCTATAGAATAGAATGGAAACATTTTCAATAAAAAGGGAGAGTGACAGACTGTAGGGTAAAGTTGTTATTATTTACAATATGCTACTTACTACAGTAGTTAACAAAAAACTAAAAATTGTATAAAACACCACAAACATACCTATTTCTTAATGTTCTAACAACATTTTATAGCAATTAACCAAACCGTCCCGGAAAAACTGAAGCCCACACATCTGCTTCATTAAAGTGGTAAACAGAGGAAAATACAGACTGACAATAGCAGTCTTGACTCCAGATTAAAGCAAATCTCTTACTCTTTTCTTGACCAGTATGGCAGAGCACTGCAGAGGGACACCCATCATCTTGTGTGGATTCCATGTGACTGAACATGCTCTGAAAATGAAACAAAAAACAAACACAAAAGAAGACAAAAATATGTGGCACATAGTTGTGGTAGGTATAAAAAAAACTCACAAGGGTAGTAATTTTTAGTATTTATACTTCAATGTGTATGATTCATATTAGTAGTTTTTATTTTTCCTCTCTGTCATGTCTGTTCCCATGTACTATGCAGCAGGTGGAGGTGTGCGTTCTTGATCAGGACTTAGTGGCCCAACCAACCTGAGGTGTAATCCAAGCAGGTTAAACTAACAACTGGTTTTCTGTTCCAGAAAAATGGTTAACTCAACCAGTAAATGAGGTAACGTAAAGCAGTTTCAGTGTATCTACCCAGGTACCAGTAACTCAGCACCAGAACTACCCGAACGTATCAGACTCCATAATGGATCAGCAAACTGGGTCTGTGTTGGGGTCCACTTGCACAACAGGACAGATCTAAAACCAATTCTGGATGAGGCTAAGCTGACTCTGTCATTTCATTCCATCATCCAATCCAGATCTGTTCTGGATCCATTTAGAAAGGCTTATTTGTCCCATACCCATGGTATGTGAGCTCCACTGATGATGGCTTTCTTTGTGTATTC